TTTGGGCAGGGATAACTCCTACTGGACGTACTTTACCGCACGTGGTCTACGGTAATCTTCCCGGACGCCGTTATTGGGACGACGAAATTCTGGCTCCTATAGGCAGTACCATTCCTGCAAGCTATGCATGGCTTTTATGGTCGACCCTCTTTACTGCAAGACGACAACGCTTGGCCTCATAGGGCCAGGATTGTCACAGAATTCCTTAAGCAGCAGGGTGTAGAGCGGATGGAGTGGCCAGCATGCTCGCCAGACCTCAACCCAATTGAGCATGCCTCGGATGAACTCGTACGACGTGTGTACACACCTCACCCAGCACCAGTGAATATTCCAGGACTCTGTAGAGCTCTAGTAGAGGAATGGAATGGGATTTTGCAAGCCTTCTTTATGAACTTGATAAGGAGCATGAGAACAAGGTGCATCTGTATCTTGGATTCACTAGGAGGGTACACTATAAGTTGTATGCTTCTCTCGAGGGTAATACGGTCTGATGTACGCCTCTTTGTAGCAGTGTCACCCGAGCCTATCGACTGGATTTTAAATTCAGTTAAACATATTCTGTCAAGCTTAAAACTGCTATAAAAATTGTTAATTATGTTTAAGCTGAGTGTGCAAACCACTCAATGTATAAAATAGCTTAAATAAAGCAGTGAAAGTCGGAAAAATATATCTGTAAAAAATGAACACAAAAAACAGCTGATCGAACGGTTTTCGAACTCCTGGCACGGCATGCGTCATATTATGACGTCATACGATTGTTAGCGCTTCAGCTTCTCGGCGGAGAGCTTGGCGGTGGCAGCGGGTAATATTTTTACCAGTTGTCACCCTCCTGGGAGGGGTGACACGGAAACTTGTTGAAGCGTCATTGACCAATGAAATTAAAGTATTTTACATGAAGGTAAGCTAAAATATATTGAATGACAGGGTGCTTCATGTTTTTCATTTTCATTTTGGGAGGGGTTGTTTATACAACTGATGTTTGCTGGTGCTGTTTGTCACGATGTGTCACGTTTGTCAACACATTAAACATTATGATGACACTCTTAGTTCTATTATTGCTTAGAAACTGTTCTTTATTTGTGCTATTATCATTTGACCCTTTATTAATGACGCCTAGTATATATGGACAGTGGTTATAGTAATAAAGACAGAGTTGGTGATACTCACGTCGCTGCCAAAGTGGCCAAGAAAGCCTCCGAGGGAAGTCTAGGCGGAGTATCCAGCATGAAAGGTGATCACCAAACTACTGCTAGTCTGTAACGTAAGATGTATTGTGAGAAGACTGACAGTGAAATTGTTCTGGAACTTCAATAATAAGCTAGGTAAGTGCTGAAAGGGCAGTGCTGAAAGGGCCAATGGTTGTAATACCACGTAGTACCTTCCAGAAACCCCAGTCCAGATGTAACAAAGTCTAAATATAGCAGACCACTGCCCCACCACAGAAACAACATTCAGTAGAGGGGCTACTGTTTACAAATGGACTACTACTACTACTACTACTCCTGCTGCTGCTGCTGCTACTACTACTACTACTACTATTACTACTACTACTACTACTACTATTGCTGCTGCTACTACTACTATTACTACTACTACTACTACTATTGCTGCTGCTGCTACTGCTGCTGCTACTGCTCCTACTGCTCCTACTACTACTACTACTATTACTACTACTACTACTACTGCTATTGCTGCTGCTGCTACTGCTACTACTACTACTACTACTACTACTACTACTACTACTACTACTACTACTACTGTCTCCTCTCCAACGACCCATCGACAATCCATTTTACGCTACTGGTCAAAACCACAGACCTTTGTGTCGTTGCTACAATATTTCCAAATCAATTAATATCAAGCATGCCAGAAATATATTACGCTACATATATCTTTAAAAGGTAAATGAGTGCGCTTCTGACATTCGTAATATTAATTGACTTGGAGTATTTAAGTAACGACACAAGTGCCTGTGGACAAAACATCCGTTCGTTCGCACCGGGTCCGCTCTGAGCACAATGCTTTACGAACTCAGGATTTTCCATGTCCTGGTCGTTGTTTTTTGTTTTGAGTGGTTGTAAATGTTTCTCGGTGCATTTATCTCAACTTGTATTTCCATGTGTTGAGCTCGGGCGCAATGAAAAACGGAACCATCATATAAATAAATAGTGGGGATAACAAGTAAGTGTCAAGATTGGTCATGCATGTAGAACAGCGTTGACGTACCTGCAGCCGGATGTCATGCATTGAGAGCAGCGTTGACGTACCTACAGCCGGGTGTCATGCATTGAGAGAAGCGTTGACGTACCTACAGCCGGGTGTCATGCATTGAGAGAAGCGTTGACGTACCTACAGCCGGGTGTCATGCATTGAGAGCAGCGTTGACGTACCTACAGCCGGGTGTCATGCATTGAGAGAAGCGTTGACGTACCTACAGCCGGGTGTCATGCATTGAGAGCGTTGCGTTGACGTACCTACAGCCGGCGTGTCATGCATTGAGAGCAGCGTTGACGTACCTACAGCCGGGTGTCATGCATTGAGAGAAGCGTTGACGTACCTACAGCCGGGTGTCATGCATTGAGAGCAGCGTTGACGTACCTACAGCCGGGTGTCATGCATTGAGAGAAGCGGTGACGTACCTACAGCCGATTGTCATGCATTGAGAGAAGCGTTGACGTACCTACAGCCGGGTGTCATGCATTGAGAGAAGCGTTGACGTACATACAGCCGGGTGTCATGCATTGAGGGCAGCGTTGACGTACATACAGCCGGATGTCATGCATTGAGAGCAGCGGTGACGTACCTACAGCCGGGTGTCATGCATTGAGAGAAGCGTTGACGTACATACAGCCGGGTGTCGCATTGAGTGTCATGCATTGAGAGAAGCGTTGACGTACATACAGCCGGGTGTCATGCATTGAGGGCAGCGTTGACGTACCTACAGCCGGGTGTCATGCATTGAGAGCAGCGTTGACGTACCTACAGCCGGGTGTCATGCATTGAGAGAAGCGTTGACGTACATACAGCCGGGTGTCATGCATTGAGGGCAGCGTTGACGTACCTACAGCCGCGTGTCGTGCATTGAGACAAGCGTTGACGTACCTACAGCCGGGTGTCGTGCATTGAGAGCAGCGTTGACGTACCTACAGCCGGTGTCTTGCATGTAGAACATCGTTGACATACATACAGACTGGTGACGTGCAGTGAGAGCAGCTTTGACGTACCTACAGCCGGGTGTCGTGCATTGAGAGCAGCTTTGACGTACATACAGCCGGGTGACGTGTATGGAGAGCAGCGTTGACGTACATATACAGTCGGGAAACGTGTATTGAGAGCAGCTTTGACGTACCTACAGCCGGGTGTCGTGCATTGAGAGCAGCTTTGACGTACATACAGCCGGGTGACGTGTATTGAGAGCAGCGTTGACGTACATACAGCCGGGTGTCGTGCATTGAGAGCAGCTTTGACGTACATACAGCCGGGTGTCGTGCATATATAACAACGTTGACGTACCTACAGCCGGGTGTCTTGCATGTATAACAGCGTTGACGTACCTACAGCCGAGTGTCTTGCATGTAGAACATCGTTGACGTACCTACAGCCGGGTGTCTTGCATGTAGAACATCATTGACGTACCTACAACCGGGTGTCGTGCATGTAGAACAGCTTTGGCGTACCTACAGCCGAGTGTCTTGCATTGAGAGCAGCTTTGACGTACATACAGCCGGGTGTCTTGCATGTAGAACATCGTTGACGTACCTACAGTCGGGTTTCTTGCATGTAGAACAGCTTTGACGTACCTACAGCCGAGTGTCTTGCATGTAGAACATCGTTGACGTACCTTCAGTCGGATGTCTTGCAAGTAGAACACCACTGTCGTACATATAGACGGGTGTCTTGCATGCAGTGCAGCGTTGACGAACATACAGTCGGGTGTCTTAAGAATAGCCTTGACGACAGATGAGCATGATTCACAGCCCGTATGGCTCATTGAATTTTATAATCAAATCGTTGTAATAGAGACACATACATACAAATATTGAAGCTTTTCTTGAGCGCATCATTCGTTACGCTCAATGTCATCGTTTCGCATTTCAAACTCAATTATTTTTTTAATTGTCTCACGTTTACATAATTATGTAGTTACAAGTAAACAGTATTTTTTTACCAGGTTTGTTTCTTTTAGCGTAACTAAATAACAATCAAATTTGTATAGTTTGTCCAGTAACGATTGACGCATAAAAGTGGCTTGTAAATTGTCAGTTGATATTCCCGTGATTGACTATGTAAACACTTGCTGGGGCATCGACATTGATCAGATTCGACATGTAAGGAATTGTATTTGACTGACATACGAACAAAGAAATCGTAATTTCTGTGAATCAATATATCATGCTCGTAAAGGAAGTGTTACGAAGAAACATAAGTCACAAAGGAACTTCATTAACTCTTTCCGATACTGTAAATTATTCAGGAATAGAAAATAAGTGGTTTCTATATTTAGATTAAATGAAGATTTTAATTTCTATTGTGTTAACCTGTTCTGGTTTTGAATATGTCCCATTCATTGGTACTTATGTGGTTAGCCACACGACAAACCACATTTCCAGAAACCCAACGGAATACGTTCACACTGTTGATCAGGTGAGCTACTGTACCTTGGAACGCCTATCGGTTTTTCTGTTGACTTGGGGATCTCAAACTGAGGCCGAAGAACGTGACATTGTCTGTATTAAAGATTGTCCATACGCATGCGTGCTTTGCTGTCCATGAGGTACAGTGTTTTGATAAGACGCTGAAGGAACTAAGGGGATCATTAATTGACCAGTGGACCTGAAGTCAATCTCGGCGCTCACGGTGGCAAGGAGATTCGCTTGTCGACAAAGGGACGGCGTCAAGAATACATGGCAGTGAACATGGCGTTGAACATTACAGAACATATAAATGCCTCCATCGCTTTCACAACAACTTCGCCATTGGGGGTGACCAGTGTATCCGAAATGTCTTCCTTATCCGTGAGTAACGGGACGAACGACGGTAACGGAACCGGGGTCATATGGTTGCCGAACTACTGGTCCAGTTTTGTTGAAAGACCAACATCTCAACAATCCACGTCCGTTGGTGTCTGGATCCGCCTCGTCGGCTTGCCGCCTGTCTTGCTTCTTGGAATTATTGGTAACATTCTTGCTATATTGGTGATGTCCCGACCAGCTATGAGACGCCATTCGTTCAGCTTCTACCTTCTACTTTTGGGCGTCTGTGATACCATATCTCTCCTGGTCCGGTTACTCTTCTGGATCAACTTATTCCTGGAGTTCAAAGGGTCTCCTGTGGTCATCACTTTTACAAACCTACCCGCCTGCATCATCAGTGAATATTTCATCACCGCCAACACTGTCGTCTGCTCCTGGGTTGTCGTCTGCATCACCTACGAGCGGGTAATTATAGTGATGTTTCCTCTGACCGGTACCAAATTGTGTAAGCCATATATATCCCGCAGGGTCGTTGTTCTACTCATCCTGTTCCCCTTCCTGTTGATGGCCTACATTCCCTTCAACACGAGCTACTTTCCAGACCTCGGCTGCGTCATGCGCTACATACCCGACATGTTGATGCATTACATCATGGCCACGACGTTCGTGACCATGCTCCCTCTCGCCCTAATCTTCCTGGGTAATGCCGTCATAATAATACAACTGAAACGTCAGAGCAAAAGAATCACCGGAACCGGAAAACGCGAAAACAATGTTAGCCGTGTAACTACCATGTTGGTGACGGTGTCCTTGACCTTCTTCATTCTTGTTCTGCCCAACGCCCTAATGGCGCTGCTGCTCGCCCTTCGGCCTGACTGGGGTATTCTCCGAGCCGCTGTGGACCCTGCCGCCTTCCTTTGGGATCTCAACTTTGCCATTAACTTCTACCTTTACGTCATCACCGGAGGCAACGTCAGAACTGAGGCGAAGGAGATGTTTTCGTGCTTTAAGACTGGAACTACAGAAGCAGTACAACGAAACAGTGTGATGTCACGAAAGTAAGGGAACTATCGTGGTGTGTCGTCCAGTTGACGTTCATGTGTTTTCTGGGACTGTTAACCTTGTGTTCCTAATCCTAGTTTTCACACAGACGTTATGTGACGTGATGTGACCATTTGTTACCTTCTCTTCTTCCATGTTCAGCACAACAGAAACTGGTTGAAATATACCAACTTCCACATGCTTTGTAAGTTCTTTTCATACGATATTATAAATATTATGATGAAACCCGTTGTATATAATTTCCGTTAAACAAATAAAGAATTTCTTATTGTTACACATTTGCTGAAAAAACGCTCTGGTTACTATTTCTAAGCAGAGTGCCATGTTGCTCCACTTTTATGACACACACATTTCGGACCTATTGTAATTAATTCGTTGAACACCTGAATTATGAATCGTATTCTTAACATCGGCATAATCTGATCAAATATCAAGCCCATTATTAAGGGAAAACATGCAGGTGGTTGATTATACGTTTAAAATATTTAAATATACTTAGCTACTCCTTTAATTCAACATGATTATCGTGAATCTCCGACAAGGTAGCAAGTTTCACGAGTAGCACAATGAGAGATGTTGTTTAACGGACACGGAACAACACTGCAGTTATAAAAACATCACGGCGTGGTATAATACCCCGATGTAGTACAGGTCTTGTTGCTGTTATGAAACTCACCAACACGTCTTCGTGCCGCAGACAGAGAAACATAATGTAAGCGAATTCGTGATTTGAAACCAGGATCACTTTTTTAACTTTCGTTACGAAACCAAATTTTGACTAACAATATCTATATATATATATGTATGTCACAATGTGTACGTTCTAGTGGATTTAGTGTTGCACCCTGTAGACATGTAACGCCCGTGTTACATACACAGAGCTTTTCTACAATACTTTTGGTGAAGCCAGCAATGTACATCGATACGTGTGAGATTTTCAATGCCATTCTTGTCGCGCTGAGATCCGAACAACAGTTTTTTTGGCTCTGCTATGGTGAAATCTTGCCCTCTGAAATATTTTACATATTTGTCGAATACGTAAGGGTGCGTAAAATATACATGTGTTTAATTGTAGTGCTGAGCAACTGTTTAACAGTAGCTATCGTGGATGACCTAATATGTGATGTCCATTTGTAATACCATTTGTAATACTTTGCTTCCCGTCAGCTGTAATAGCACAATACTGGGTGGAAATATGGCAATGTTCACCTGATCTAAAACGGTTTTTCCGTGTTTAAAATATAATGCATGTTACTTTTCCTTTTTGTCAACTGTAGTTTTCAAAATTAGAACGTATCATCTAAAAAACCCACACCATCCACAGTGACACAATTCTCTCTATTGTATTGATAACGGTCAGACCCATTTAGATAAAATGTTCGTTCTGAGGTCTGATATGAATAAGTACTGAGATCAGGCGTTCGATGTTAGAGATTGCGACACGTATAGTCTATGATACGAAGTGTTTGTTCTGATTTAATGAAACGTGTCAGTAAGATAATTGAAGTCAAAATATTGTTCTGATCGTATGACGTTACAACCGTTTGACGTCATAGCAATGTGACGACATATTGCTTTATTGAACAATGCCTTTTTCAGTCGACCTTTGAAACGCTTTGCAATAAAACTGAAGTTGAGTTTTTTCAAAATCAATATGTTTCATTAGCTTATGTTAGCTTATTTATATTATCACAACACTTACCTGTGCTCGATGTACAGGGCAATCTTTAACGGCCTTGACTTACCTTTACACTAAAACTCATTAACCATAATTAGTACGTTAAACTCTAGTGATTCATTGAAGCGTTTCCTCGTGGTATTGCAGAGAGCACATGAAAACTACAATAGGTTCAATGGAGAGTCGTAATGATTAACTTGTCACCTTGGCATAACTAGTCTAAACGTGACTTCAACATAAGCTTGTGTTCTGGAGACATAAAAGTGAAGTTATGTGTGTGTGCATATTTTGAACTTCCGGAATCAGTGCGATGCCGGGGTTTTCTTTTATACCCCGACAAATGTTAAAAAAGCTTGAAGTCAGTTTTAAGCATAAAATATAATTATAACCTCACAGAGAACGTATGTAATCAATAAAAGCTGTAGACAACAATGCGAGATTATTGACAACGTTGATCAGCAAAATATTTCAACCGATTTATTTTACATCAGCCAACGATAAATGAAAACATATGTGCTTGGTTAGCTATGGAATTATTTTCAATGTATTACCTGAACATTATTAATCTCATGTAAATGCAACACTGGAGGTTTCTACGACCGGGTCAGTGTGTTTTGTATTAATACACATTTGTGATCATTGTTTAACGTCATCACAAAACTTTGAATTGTGATACATGTATTTTCGTTAACTTGACAATTTCTGTTGTCACTGTTGTTAGTACACTCTGATAAACCATTAAAAGAAATACATAGGCTAACTTTGAAAATGTTAACTTTTTCACTTTAATGTGCATATCTCATTTACTTTGATTGATGCCAGGATGAGACTAGTACGCTGATGGTCATGGTCATAATGGCTATACTGACTGCCTTGTCACTAGACACGTACGTTCACCAGGAGGACGTTCTCATCAGTTCCTGGTGTGACTTCCCGGGCACAGACCGAATAACTCTACGGATTCTGTCCTATGGAATTCTCCCCCCACTTGTCGATGGTCTGTGCCACATATTGACTTTGACGTACACGACTATCGAGTTCATCCCTTCAATCCAAATGTCTCAATTCATGATTCACGATTCATGATTGTTTGGTCTAATATCCTCATTAAGCCAGATACATGCCCTGTAGTCTCGGCGGCAGTGGCATGACGTAGATGAAACACCCGGATGGAACGATCTTATGCAGGGGTGGTGACTCTTGGTTCACAACTTTTGTGGAACGCAATAGTGCAGCGGTAAGGCGTCTGCCTATCACGCTGAAGGCCCCCGGGTTCGATCCCCGGTGGAGGCACCTAGGTTCGGGTCCCGAGGTGGGCACATTTGCGTACTATCCTTGGACAGGATACTAAGATCCACATTGTCTCAGTTCACCCGGCTGTAAAATGGGTACCCGTGAGGATGTGCTGGCAATGTGGGTGTTTAGTTCATTGCGTCTAACAGGCAGCATGGCTGTATGCTCCTCTGTGAGTATGAAACGTATCGGAAAGTACGATAGTGTCCTATGACCGGGGATAGTCATGTACGTAGCGCCGTGAGCAGGCAATGTGCCTGGATATGAGCGCCATATAAACGGACTATTACTATTACTACTTCTCGGAAGATCCTGGGTTGCATTGTGGCAGGTATACCTATGAACGAGATAAGATGCTGTAGCGTACGTCAGTACTGCACACTGGGGCGCTCCAGCTTTAAGATGTGTTATTGCGATGGGCAACAATCTGTGTCGACATTTTCCCAATTCCAATAAGTCAAAACGTGTGCCATTTTTCAGCCAATGTCACAGCACGTGATTGTCACAGCTTACATTCTGCACCACCCGGCATCTGTTTTGAATGTTTCGTGAATATTACGCATACAAAATGACATTCTCACTACCTCCTATGTGTTGCTTTTTTGTAGAATGTATTCTATCACCATGTAACTTGGACACAAATAAAGTATATAGTACTATTCCACCAGCTAGTGTTTCTTTGCTACATGACGTACTATCAGTTTGCGAAAGTGTGATGTCGGGAAATACAAGGCAAATAAACCCGACTCGTTTCAATACTGAAGCATTCGGTTCAACTCGGCTTATTACGTTAACTGTACATAATGCCTCGGATTAAATTGGAGAGGTTATATTTCATAACTGTAAATTGCATAAGGACAGATCCCTCCGCATATAGTTCATGCACATAAAGGGCACGTTTTCGATTGTATTAATATATATATTGGGTTTTTATAAATTTTAGGCTATGGTATTCGGATCGTATAACGAAGGGTCCGATGTCCAATAATGACAATGATAAGCTAACACGCCAGAAGCAACAATCAAAAACACAATACAAAAAACACTGGCGACAATATTGCCATCCTCCAAATAGAATGTGAAACACATTTACACAATGTTACCTTGTCGAGGCAGGTGAACGCATTAACCGCTTCACAAAAACATTAATCAGTGGACGAGATTAAAGCTTTCCCGGCATAACCTTTTTCTCATTGATGGTGGTAAAAGTCTTACAGTAATGGCGTATTTCATTCACAGCACTCATAACCCGCAAGGAATGTTCATTGCCATACATGTTATGTTTTCATTTGGGCAACCCAAAGGCGGCTATTCTAGTCATCGATCTGTTCTGTGTGACGCCAGCAACCAATCAACGTCATGGACTTCCGAGTGCAAGCTGTCAGCGAAATACCATCCTACCTGGACGCCTAGCAGGTATACTCGGCATTTACATGTGTCATACAGTGATACTTCCGCTTTCACCGGACCCAGAGCTCAATATTGAGATGCACGTGATGATGTGATGATAAAAGCACCAAGACACCTGAACAACTCTTCAAAATAAGGAGAGATAGAGACATTCTTATGATCACAGATGCACCATATGTACAATTCCTGTTCAAATCCTGTATCAAATTCTTCCAGAATGACGGTAACTTGTATTTCCGAAATGAAAGCATATCTGTTTCAATATCAAGTTAATCAGTGAGAAAAGAGAACAATGCATTTCTTTCTGACAAAAAGGCTTCACAATGTCACAAATTGTGCCTGTCAAAGTCGTCAGATTGTTCATCATAGGGTTTGCATTGTTTCGAAAAGGATTTCCACGCAAAGTTGTAAAGCAGGGGCCATATCCACAAAGCGTTCGTAGCATTACGTCATTCGTAAGCCAGTGATATATAGAGGTACGACAGGTCGTAACGTTACGAACACTTTGTAGATCGGGACCCAGGACGATATTCCGGAATAGCCAAAGCCAGAAACTTTTAAAGTACCAGTGCTAACGGGATATCTTTTTACCATTTTTGATACGCGTTTATATGAAACC